GAGGTCGGGACCGCAGCAGAACGGACGCTGAGAAGAAGGAGGCCGCAGGGATTCCCACCGTAGGTGCTGTTCACACAGACCGACAGTGTGTGAAGGGATGGTGAGGAGGAGGTGCGGGGAAATGGGGGAGCACCGTCACCTCTGGGACAGAGAAGGGAAAGACCTGGCATGAGGGGCCTCAGCTTCCCCTCGGCCGGTGGGGGGGACGCATGTGTGAATCACTCTTTATTCCGATCTGTGTGTCCTAGCATCTCGGCGAGGCTTCCTTGCCCCTCCTGCAGCCCCCTCCCCAGAGACCAGGGGCATGGTCCTCCTGCTGGGTCCTCTCCAGTGAGCACCCGTGTGTACAGGCGTGGGAACAAACGGAAGGCTGCTCGTGCACCCCTGCACACCCCGCTTTGCTCCCCACTGGCGTCTCGTGGGGTCTCCCATCCGGGCACTTAGCAGCCTTTTGTTGTAGCAGCTGCACATTGCTTTCACCGCTTTCCTGCTGGTGGGCAGTCCCTCATATTCCGCTTTTCCAAGATGAGGTGTCCTCAGTAGAGGCCCTATGTGACAAGCCAGCCACCATATTCAAGTACGGATGGAGGTCCTAGCCGCGGCCGTCAGGTAAGAAACAGAAAGCAAACACATTGGAAAGGAAGAAGCGAAACTCACTATTTGCAGATGACATGATAACCGTATATAGAAAACCCTAAAGTCTACACACACACACACGCACACACACACACGCAGCCCTGTTAAAGCTAATTAATTTCAGTCAAGTCACAGGATAATAACAAGCTGTCAGGGAAACTAAGAAACTCCCATTTATAATTGCATCACATACATAAATCGTGTAGGAATAAATTTAACCAAGGAAGCAGAAGACCTGTTCACTGAAAATTATAAGACATTGATGAGAGAACTCGAAGACAAATAAGCGGAAAGATACTTTGTCCTCACGGATGGGATGAATTGCTATTGTTCAGAGGTCTGTACTACGCAAAGCATTCTGCAGATTCAGTGCAGTTCCTACCAAAATTCCAATGGCATTTTTCACAGAAAGAGAACAAATCTTAATTTGTATGGAACCTCAAAAGACTAAGGAACCAGCGCAATCTTGAGAAAAAAGAATAAAGCTAGAGGCATCGCCCTCCCTGATTTCTAACTACATTGCAAAGCTGTGGTAAGACAGTAGGGCATTGGCATAAAAACAGACACATGGATCAATAGAACGTAATAAAGAGCCTAGAAATAAGCCCACAACTTAAATGGTCAATTAGTTTACAACAGAGGGGCTAAGAATACAATACAAAAATGAGAATACAATAGGGGAGGGACTGTCTCTTCAATAAATGGTTTGGGAAAACGGGACAGCCTCTGGACCCCTACCTCACACCATGCACAAAACTAAGAATGGATTAAAGACTTGAAAGTAAAACATGAAACCGTAAAACTAGAAGGAAACACAGGCTGATAACTCCCTGACATCACTCTTGGTGGTGATTTTCTGGATTTGACACCAAAAGCAAAAGAAAAAAAGTGGGACTACATCAAACAAAAAAAGCCTCTGCTCGGCAAAGGAGACCATCAAGAAAAAATGAAATGACAGCCTTATCTGATAAGGAGTTAATATCCAAAATATATAAATAACTGAGACAACTTAATAGAAAAAAATTGGGAGGGGGGGGTGCCTCCTGGGTGGCTCGGTCAGTTAAGCGTCTGACTCTTGATTTCAACTCAGGTCGTAATCTCATGGTTCGTGAGTTCAAGCCCCAAGTCAGGCTCTATGCTGACAACACGGAGCCTGCTTGAGATTCTCTCTCTCTCTCTCTCTCTCTCTCTCTCTCCCCCTCCCCTGTTCACACTCTCGCTCTCTCTCAAAAAGTACATAAACATTGGGGCGCCTGGGTGGCGCAGTCGGTTAAGCGTCCGACTTCAGCCAGGTCACGATCTCGCGAGATCTCGCGTGATCTCGCGTGAGTTCGAGCCCCGCGTCAGGCTCTGGGCTGATGGCTCAGAGCCTGGAGCCTGTTTCCGATTCTGTGTCTCCCTCTCTCTCTGCCCCTCGCCCGTTCATGCTCTGTCTCTGTCCGCCCCCCCCCAAAAAAGTAAATAAACATTAAAAAAAGAAAAACATTTTCATTAAAAAACAGAGGACCTAAATAGCCTTTTTTCCCCAAAGACCTACAGATGGCCAACAGTCACGTGAAAAGATGCTCAACGTTACTCATCATCAGGGAAATGCAAATCACAACCACAACAAGAAATCCCTTTACACCTGCCTGAATGGATGTTATAAAAAAGCCCGGAAGTAACCTGTGTTGGTGGGAATGTAAGTCGGTGCATCTGCTGTGGAAAACAGGATGGAGGTTCCTCAGATCTCAAAAAAGGAAAGAAGAAAGAAAAGAAAAGAAAAAAAAAAGAAAAGAAAAGAACTACCACATGATCCAGCAATGACTCTTCTGGGTATTTATCCAAAGAAAACAAAAACACCAACTCAGATACCTGCCCCCCCATGTCCGCTGCAGCATTAGCCCCTGTAGTCGAGGCACGGAAACAACCGAAGAGCTTAAGTGTCCGTTGATGCATGAGTGGGTTAAGATCGTAGTGCGTGTGTGCGTGCACACACACACGCACACACACGAATACCGTTCGACCGTGAAAGAGGAAGTCCTGCCATTTGCGACAACGTGGATGGACCTGGAGGCCGTTATGTTAAGCGAAATAAGTCAGAAGGATGGATACCGTATGCTCTCACTCACATGTGGAATCTTGAAGAAAAACCGCAGAGCTCATAGGTGCCAGGGGTGGGGCGGGAGGTGGGGCCGGGCAAAACGCGTGAAGGGGGTCAAGAGGTACAGAGGTCCAGTGACGCAACGGCGGGGGGAACGTGCGCAGCACGGGAACCGCGGCTGACAACACTGTGTTGTATCTTTGAAAGTCGCTAAGGGAGGAGATGTTCGCTAAGGGAGGCAAAGGGAAATCTGGTAACTCTGCCGAGATGGACGGTTAAGGATGGCCGCACCGTGGTGACGCTTTCGCGGCACACACAAGTAGCGAATCCGTGTTGTACCCGAAACCGAGGCCAGGTTGTGCGCCCAAGACGGTGAGGTCTCCCATCTGACACGGATGTCCCAGAGCTAAGACACTAAGCCCAACCCGGCCTCCAGCTGCGTGCGCGATGCCGCAGGGCCCCAGCCTGAGCCCGCAAAGGCCAGAGGGCACCCGAGGGCGCGACAGGGAGGTGGGGCAGGCTGCGGGGATCCGGGCCGGGTCGTCTCTCACCTCTCCACAAAGGCGGGAGCCAGCCGTTCCCGGGCTCGAGTTGGGGTCCCGGTGAAAGTGGCAAACCAAAGCATTAATGGGACTGATCACAGCCGCAGCTTCTACCCAGGCCTTTTCCTTCGCCTTCAGACTTCCCCCCGACCCCCCTCCTTTGAGGAGGTGGATTTGAGGCTTGCCCCCCAACCGCCACCCCCTTCCCCCTGCACACCCCCTCCCTCCACTCCCGTCTCCTCCTTTGGCTGCCTCTTGAACAAACCCCTTTTCCTGCTGCAAACCTGACGTCTCAGAGATCGTCTCTGCTGTGTTTCCGGCAGATGGAGCTTGGGTTCGGCTACACAGGGGCCCCCAAACCCCTCCAGGGCCACACAGTGGCCTGTGCACCTCGCCTTCTGGCAGCTGCAGCCGCTGGGCCCTGGCCACTGAGCGCCGGGCAGCCCTTCACGGCTCTGGAAGGACGGGGGGCTGTCCCCCTGCTCTGCTTGTGTGGCCGCCACAGCTGGCTGAGCGCCCCCCCCCCCACACTCTGAGGCCTCCTGGGCCGGGGGGCGGTCACCCTTGGCCTCGGCGGAGGCCCTCCCTGCCAAAGCACACCTTCCTCACCCACGCTCATGGTGGCTGAGCCCCTCGGGGAGCTGTGAATGCCTAAGACATCCACGACCCTGTTTCAGTGTCACAAAAACACAGCAGCCTTATTTCATTTTGAGTAACAGTGGACCCCAGACACCAACCACTCATGGTCGCTGGTAAGGCCCAGGACCCCGAGTTGCCTGTCCCGGAGCTGATGTGTGCGGACATCTGAGCCCCTCCCACCCAGAGGGCAACCCCTCACTGCTGGAACCCTGGACCGCGGTGTGCAGGCCACGCTTCGCTCCCCACCTTGTAATTTGAAAGGGACGTCTACCCCAGAATCTTGTTCAGGGCGTGCTAGTGGGGGCCTCTCGGGCTGAGAGCCTGACTTGTTCACAGGATCAACCCTGAGGCCTTTGCATCCCACCCAGGACATTTGCCCCAGAGGCTCAGGGCCGAGCCTCCTTCCTTCTGCCTTGACTCACAAGCTTCCCCAGCAGTCAGGTGTCAGCTCAGAAGACCAGGCGAGGAAAAGGGTGCTGGTGTTGGGAAACCCACCGACCTGAGGGATCTCAGCCGAGGAGGACATACGGAGGGTCAGCCCCACGTGCTACCCTTGTACTGGCTGGGCCCTTAGTGGATCAGGGGTGTGGTGGGGGGGAGGGGTATGAATGGATGTGGATGAGTGACGAGTGATGGGTAATGGGCGGATGATGGATGCATGACGGGACGGATGGGTGGATGGATGGGAGGCATCTGAGGGGGCTATGGTGGAGACCCTGGTCAGGCAGAACAGACCCCATCTCATCTCTGAGATGAGGGTCAGAGGGCCCAGCCCGGTGCTTCCCTTTCATGACTAAGGAGGAATGTCAGGAAGCCCCGGGAATGTCTGGAAACTTCCCAACACCCAGATGCCCATCGGCCAGTGGAGCCACGGCCACCCCCTCCAGCTCTCTGAGCCATGAAAATGCCACACAACTTCCCCAAGGCCACAGGAACCACGGGGAGGAAACACCTACGGACGCCCCACCCAGACCCGCCAAGGTCGGGGGTAACCTCGGCCCTGAGCACCTGTGCTGTCTCAAGATGACAGAACCATGTCCAGGGTCAAGCGAAGCCACGGCCCGCTCCAGACACAGCACAAGAAAGAAGTCGCCTCATCCTTCAGGAAAATAATGTGCGTATTAAAAATAGAACATTAACAGTTTTGAACTATTTACATGACTCACTGTAATGGGTCTTAAGAAGCCGTGCAGTCAGGTGACCACGTGTGGGGGCGACGCGGGCAGCCGGACAGGTCTGAAGGTGGAAGAGTCCTCCTGCCCCCAGCGCTCGTTGGTGGCGTCACCCGGCACGGGACAGGGGTGACCCAGGAGGGGGCGCAGCTGGAGGCTGCTGCAGAGCGGGGGGGGGGGGGGGCAACCGGGGGGAGGCAGGATGCTCGGCATAGGCGGGGCCTGGTCCGGCCTGGCTGGGGCTTGGGGACACGTGTTTTCCGAGGACACGTCTGTCATCAGTCGGGTGGCCACCTCGCCCGTGGAACGGGGGCAGTTTGCGTCCCAGCGCCACGGAAACTGCTCTGCGATCCCCCGGCCCCCTTCGGCTGAGACGTGGCGCCGGCCCAGGTAACCAGCCGCAAGCTGGCGCCTGGACGCATGGCCCTTCCTGACCTGCCTGAGCTCCGGCGTGACTTACGGAGGCTGGGTCTGGGCGCCAGTGACCGCGGGGGCGGGGAGCGCGTGGGGTCGCGACCAGGAGGCCGCCGTCACGGAGCCCAGACCACCGGGGATGCGGCAAAGATGACGGGCCCCCCCGTGCCCTCGCCCGCCGCCCTCAGGAGGGAGGCCTGCTCTGCGCGGAGCCGTCCTCACCGCGGGGCCCCCTTCCTCCTCTGCTCCAGCTCGGGCAGCCGCTCCTCCCGGGTCTGTGCGTGCTGGGCCCCCGCCCTGTGGGCCGCCTCGGTGGCCGTGATGTCGATCTGTGTGTAGCGGGAGGCGCCGGCCCCTGAAAGCAGCCCCGGCCTCGGGTCAGCCCCGCGGGGCCCACGCCTCCCGCAGAGGCCTCCGCCCCGACGGGCCCGGGAGGGGCGATGGGGGAGGGGGGGGCCAAGCTGGGAGGCAGGTGGGGTGACGCCCTCAGGGGACACAGTCAGCAGGAGCGTGGACTTGGGGGCGTTGGGGGAGGAGCTCCCCCCGGAGGGGAAGGCCCCCGAGGCCCCCCGGGGGGGGGGGGACCCACCTCGGACCCCCGCGCCGGCGCCCTGCAGCTCCAGGCCCATGTAGTGCAGCTGCGTCTTGGAGGAGGGGCTGACGGGGATGTTCACGTAGGGGGGCACCTCCCCCCACGGTCTCTCAGGCCCCGCGGCTCCTGCGGGGAGAAAGGACAGTGAGTCTCCGGGGGCGGCCGAGGGCTGGGCTGACCCGGTAGACTATTCGGCAGAGAGCTCCCCACCCCCACCCCCAGCACCCGTCCCGTCCTGCGCCCCCCCACCCAGAGAGCTCCCCACCCCCCTCC